CCTTTTCGCCTCCGCCGTTTGTCAGGGTTTGGGGCCCGAAAGCTTGGAGTTTAGAATATTAGACCTGGGAAATCAAATGGGGACTGCAGTTATTTATGGGTTTCTGGGGATTGCAGGGTTAGGACCAAAGTGGGGTAAGCAGGCTTCATATGCCTGAGAACAGCCCAGTGCGGACATCAAGGTTAGGGTGAGGAAGGATTATCCAGTGAGAGAGTTGCTGGAGATTTTGCGTTGCGAGCTCACAGGGCCAAATGCTTGTGAACTACTGGCGTTCTTTCAGGGACCCTTGGAACGGCAAAAAGTTCTCCAAATTTTCTCTGCAGCCTCACCACCCCATACTGACCTTTGCTGTCCCAAAACCAGAACGCTCCTCTGCCATCAGTTTTGGAGGACCGGTAGGGCGGTCACGCTGGTGGTGCCCGGTTCCGATCCGGTAGGGTCCTCAGCAGTGAAGTTTCTGATAGCAGCCCAAATGACTTGAGTAGGCCTTTGGTGCCCAGTAGACTGTACTTAAATAAGGATTGTTAGAGAATAGCATTGGTAATTATTCAGGCGCCAGAAAGGGCTTAACATCCTCTACGCCTAGGATGTCTTCGATAGTATGAATATGCGGTGTTCCTCGTAGGGTCTCTTTCGGGGTTCCGCGCTTGATCGTGGAGACGTAGTACAGCTGCAGCTCTATTTTGGGTTCAGGGTTGCGGGCACAGTGCCTAGCTTGAAGTGAAGCCTAAATCCTACGCCGCGGGGTTTAGGGTTTGCTTAAGGGGTTTGGGTCCATGTCCATGTAGCATAAGCTTCAGGCACAATTCATCACAGGGAGACTGGACAGTTCTTTACATAGGAACTAATAAAGCACCGATCACGGGGGACCTGTGAAGATTTCATTGATGAGTGCTCGTGTGACTGAGTCAATCGCAGCATGATTCTGGAACGTGGCTTCCCACAATCCCTCTGTGATTTTTAAGGGCCTCGGATGTTGACACAACTTCATCCGAAGAGTTAATGGCCAACAACGAACTCGGCCCGAGGTAAGGACGTGGCTTTTTCCTGTTGGGCATGGACTTCCTTTCGTAGTGCAAAGTTGATTCTTTCTCTTCCTGAGTAGAGTCCTTAGGATACGGGTTGAGAAAGTGAAGCAGCTACTATCATCGTCACCGCTGGCGTTGGTTTGTAGGATGAGTTGTTTAGGTTGAAACGTACGAGGCATGAACCCCTGACGTTACCCGCCAAATGAAGGCTTGAAAAGCCAGGAAACCTATAATGATTGGAGAGGTCACTGCATCTGGTGAAATTGTAGGCACGTTTTTGAGGATGGTGTCTTCAAAGGGGGCCTTTACAAGTAAGTAGGGGTAATTGTGAAAAGAGTTTCAAGTTCGCTTCAGACGCCCTGGGCCCAGTTTGATACAGCTAGTGTATGACACGCCTTGAGCTATCCTTTTCCTCACCAGACTTTTGTCTCTTGAGCTGGAGCAGTGTCCCTCAGTACCATGGGCTATATACCCATGATGAGCTAGATTTCCGAACTTCGTACATGGCCCCTCAAAGCCCTGTAAGGCCTAAACTCAACCCCTCACTGCCCCATAACCCTATACCTGCCCTAACCCCTAAACCATGGGGTAGTCTTTGGGGTTTGGAGGATGCAGCTGCGCAGAAGAGAGCGTTGAGATCTGCGCTGGACTCCGCAGGGCTACGCCAGCCCCCATTGAGTAACTACAAGGGTGGACGGACTCATTACAGTGCATTGGTGTAAAGGTTTGAGGTTGAAAGGCACCGTGCCTTCTCGGCTGATGCGAGACATGTACTAAAGTCAAAAGGTTCTTTTGCTGTTGGGAGTGCTTTCGTCATATAATTCGGGTGCATTTCTCGTAGGTCCCGTCTTTCTTGAAATTTTCGCAGAAGCGGGGGCCACACCTTCGGCTTCGTAAGTTCTAGGACCTAGAGCATGCAGAATGATGGCGCTTCGTACCTTTATTGTGGGTTTGCGGCCACTCTCTTGCCTACTTTCAAATTCCGTGTTGCACTATATTGTGGAGAGGTTGCAGAGGGCGTCAGGCTTCCAATCGTGGAGCTTTGAACAAAAGCGCCAGTTCGTCCGAATTCTGCAAAGGGGGTTGCAAACATACTGCATAAATTGGGACTTTATTAGCCGAGCCTGAACAGAGGTTGTAAAGTTATGCGCCCGAGAGATCTGGATCAAACATGGCCCTGGATTTGGAGGTTGACAATAAAATTGTTATATCCCAATCCCCGGAAATTAGGACCCTGCAACCAATCATAGTAGCTTCCGTTTCCTTTCTACTATCCCTACATGACCTTTATGTAACCCTCTATAAGATCCCCTACATCCCCCTATAATCCTAACCCCGCCTTACTCCCGTAGAAGGCTCCCAGTTGTAGAGGCTGAAGCATAATGGCTTGGGGGACACCTACAGCCTTCTTTGATAGAGCTATGCCCCGGACTCCATGCAACCTGGAGATAGGTCAGGTATTCAGCGTCATGTCTTTATACAATGAAGCAGAAGGTATCAAAACTAGGTTTGGCTGAGGTTTTAGGGCACTTGCGGAACAACAGATGTGGCATCCGGCATCCATGTTGTTGCGCAGAGCACGCGTCATTTCACGACTGTTCTCGCGTACGGCTCCGCAACAACTGGATTAGTGATTGGTGCCCCGCCCCTATGCCCGTATGACCTGCCATCATCCGTCTTGACCTCCCGGGCCCTAAACCTTCCTCGGATGGGTCGATAGCCGTCACGCCACAAATTCAGGCCTTTTGTCATGGAAGTCACGCGCGCACTGATTCACAGCGTGCGCGTGCGAAAGGACAAGACATTGGTCTGTGGTGTGGACGTCGACGATAAGCATGACCTGAACAAGTCCATGGTTGAGCCCCTCCTCTTCAGACTTGCGATGGAACTGTCTGAGTACACTTGTATATACCCCATAAGTCATAGGTAGACCCATCAGCGAAAAGGACCCTCGAGGTCCGTCAAGAATGTACAGTAGTCGACAATCATGTGTGCTGCCTCGGTCTTGAAATTCCCGTCGGGGTTGTCCATGGTTGAAGGTTTTGTGCTACAAGATTTCTCAAAACGGGACCCTAAGAACCCTAGGAACAAAATAGCAGGCACCACACCCAAACCCTATGCTGTGTAAGCCCTATTCAGAAACTCCATGAAACCCCCACATGACGTGAGCACCGCCCGCACCTACATGACAATCTTCACAGCCCTAAACCCTAAACCGGGTTACCATCAGAAGCTTCAGACACAGGTTGTTCGGACCTGGGCCTTAGATCGTGCATTTGGGCTTTCCCAAAATTAGGGTATATTGGGGTCTATATTGGGGTTCCTTATTTTCGGAAGCCACCATTTCACTGAGCAGTTTAGCATCATCTGTACACGGAGGATTTTCGGTAAGACCAGCTGTTTATTATACATAAACTAACATGTATATGTCTATGCCCACTGATTCCCCTAACCGGCACTGAGTGGGGATGACGAATGTCTGATGGAGGAGCTGGCTGGATTCGAGTAACCATCTAGCCTTAATCTTCAATCTTAGATTTGAGGCTCAGGTGGGCTTATTTGGGGTTATCCTGAAACCCTAACAGGTCATCAGGGTTGAGGGTTTAGAATCAAATGTCCGAAGCCCTAAAAGTCTGGATTTATGGGGCTTAGGACGGTGTTTTGTCTGGAACGCCCTGCAAATCTTTGCGATCACAAGATTTCTCTTCAGAGGGTTAGAAGCTGCAGTTGTGCCTCCATCCCGTACCGCTTGCTATATCTAAGGGCTCCAGAGTTGCACGGGACTTTACGAGTAGATTAGGCTACCACAGGGGTTGTCACGTTTTGGGCTCGAAACCCCTAAAATCAGAAACCCTAAACCCCTAAACCCAGTTGGTTATGTCCTTGGCTTGGAGCCACCGAGGCAGGCCATGCTGCGAGGCATCATTGAGGACTGCATGCTACCCATGTGAGCTTATAAAGGGGGGTTATATAGGGGGCTACTGTCGGGGTTACTAAGGGGGATACTTGGAGATTGGACTATGGCTTATGTAGGGAAACCCTAAACCCCCCTAAACTCTAAACCCTATTACATGAAATTTACCCTTTCCACCTTGCACCCTTTGGGGATCTTCAGTGCCGAAAGATGTCCTATGGGACCAGGCAATGTGTTTGCTTCCGCTAGTTGATTTAGGCGATTTAGGCACATTCTTTGGGCGAATGTTTCATGGAGGACAAGCGTGCAAAGACCCTCCCAGTCTATTCCCTCACCTCCACCAGGCCTGTTCGTTCTACACTGGCATTCCCAGGGATCCCTTCATATATCCCCCAATACCGTCACCATAAGATAGTTCAAGTATTCCCAGAAAGGGACCCAGTGAGGACACATATCGTCGGCACATTGGCGGTGCCTCTGAAGTCCCAGCCTTCGATTCAACCGCCAGGATTGAAACTCCCGTCAAGGAACTTTGGCAGATCTCGCGGAATCTGCAGAAAATTACAGGGTTTAGGGTTCAGTGTCTAGTTTACAGGGTTCACGGATGATTTAGAGGTCCAGCGGTACAAAGCCCCCACCCATGGAGATTCAAATGCAAAGGAGAATGTAACATTATATGTAGACTGGGGTCGGGGGTGTAGGGCGTTAGTTGGGACCCCAACAACGGTCCTTTTTAACCTGAAGCCCTCATGCCTTTCAGATGGGTGGGGAGTGTAGTGTTTCATGGTTCAGGCTCGGGGTTCGTGCGTTCTTGTCCTAACGACCCAACATGCAGGATTCCATGATCAAGAGGACTCTTACAGGAGGCTTTGCAACACGCACCATAAGCTCAACCTTCTGGTTTTTTGAGCGTTTCGTCATAGAGATCCAAATACTAAGTAGTGTGTGGGTTTGGCTACAGGCTGGTCACAACCAGGGCTGTGCCAAGAAAGTATCATAACCAGTTAGGACTGGGGGTGCCGAGTGTAAGTCTGAAGGTGTACATGGGCACCGTTGTCAAATGCAAAATAGGCATGCGGCTCAACTGCATAAGAAGCAGTCACTGGCGCGGAATTTGAGATGTGCTTTGGTTGGAGTTGAAACTCACAACCAGCGGCCTGACCTTTTTCCTGCTTGTTGCAAGTTTGTTGCCAAGACACCCTGGCGCCTCTAAATCCCCCACACCTGCGAAACTGCCGTAAACTTCCTAAACCCTAAGCCCCATGGTGTTTCATAGGCCTCAAACCCTAAACCCTAAATGTGGATTGGTTTTTCGAAGCAGCTAAGGAACAGATAAAATGGATATTCTCTGAGTGGGACTCCAATGATGACGGCCTGGTCTCAAGAGCCGAGTTCAAAGACAGCCTCTTAGAAGCGCAGTGAAGGGTTTAGGGTTCAGGGTTTAGGATCAGGTAGGTGAACTTCATAGTAGTTTCCATTTGATATTCCATTATCGCCGTATAACCCAACATACTATAGTAGTTTCCAGTCCTTTTCCATTATTCCCATTAAAACCCTTAAGCCCTAAACTGCTGAAGCTTTACTCCAAGAGCTTGGGGCTGCAACCTAGAGGTTATATGGAGCCATAGTTCCTACATATTGGCTATTCATGGGTTACATACGGATTATGGTTCCGACTTTGGGTTCCGACTTCTATTTAACCCCTAAGTTTAAAAACACAGTTTCCATTTCATTTTCCATTATGCCAATCTAACCCCAATATACATTTTATTTTCCATGATCCCCGTAAAAACCTTCTTTGGGGGGACGGTTAGTGGCAACCAAGGCCTCAAAGCGTTATGTGACCAGCTGAGCCCGGAGGATGTCGAGACTGTTGTTCAGACCGTGGATAAGAACCTAGGCTGAACTTGGGTATAGTTGGGGCAGGGCGGGGTAAGGGAACGATTTTTTGGAGGTGCTCCATTGAAAGGTAGGACGCAACCCAAGAAAGGAAGAACATATAGGGTCCAAGTAGGGTTTTGTGTATTTTCCTGAAACCCGCAAGCTGGAGCCCTAAAACCGCTATAGCTTGAATACTAGATAATTCAAACCACGAGGTTTAGGGGTTGTGTTTGCGACTGAAACGCAATGCAATACGCACTTTCCAATGCGCCCCGAGACTGACTCAGGAACAAAGATGGCAATGTCGATGTGGAGGAGTTTTTGAGCGTTTGAGGTTTCTTCTCACATGCTCTGTGTTCTCTCTGTGACTGGTTGTGTTGAAGGAGGGGGGACGGCACAGTCTTGCATGTAGAACCTACGCCTGACTAACGGGAGAACCCAGCATTGGTGTAGTGTGCTCTCCCTGTTCATGGGAATGCCCACTTGCTACCCCACCATGAACTACTCGCACTGGTACACTTACGTAATTTTAGCGGCATTCGGGCACAGCTAAAGCCGTGACTTACCATATTGTGAAGGGCAGGAGGTGCGAGGGGGTAGGTACCTTCGCATTTTCCTCATATTGCCCCAGCACCTGTCCCTTGGACTCGATCACCATGGGAACATAGAATTACTCCCCCCCCCATAGGAATGAATATTCCCCCTAACATGGAATGGTACTATAATATTGGGGGAGTTATCATCAGGGGGAGGGGATGAATGGTCCTTAGACCCCGAAGTTGGCTGATTTTGACACCCTCGCAGAAATGAGGTGCGCAAGAAAGTATTAGAATTTTAACGGGTCGATTTTAGTTGCAACTTCAACCCCTGAAGTCCTTGTATTCCCGAATCCCTGCATAACTACCCCTAAACCTTCAAGTAGAGGAGTTCTTGGAATGGGTGTTCTCTGGAGCCGAGCACTCGGAGAAGGTTCTCATTGAGACCACCGCGCCCTCACCGCCAGAAGCGGCCGCAGAGGTGGCAAAGCAAGCGACGTGGGGGTTCGATAAATCCGGGGTCCCTTTTGGGACTTCTTATAAGAAGGGTTGTAATATTTGGGGATCTACGTATGTCATTTACCGGAAACTAACAATGTATAGGCCGAAGCTGCCGGGATTAACAAGGGTCCCAAGGAGCCTTGGGAGCACACTCTTACCGTAATACTTGTAGGGCAAGAGCCTAATTACTAAGTATTTCCAATGGTTGGCCAAATTGGCCTAGACGCTGGGTTTCGGTTGGGAACATTTGCCTTATTTTCGGCGCATTATGCTCTATTTTTTTGGGGGGGCTTACTACCTGCGGGATAATGTTTTGAAATACGCATTGGTGTTGTCTGCGGTTCAGGCATCTAAGGTTTGCGACCGATCTCTACCGATCGCCTGTCCCCACTCTTAAGCTCTCTTCGTTATGATGTTTCACAACTATGCAACATTTTGCAACCATGATAAGGAACTCGGGGAGATGTTCGTCATGAACGGATGAAATTGCAATTGAATTTGGGAGGTTCAGAGCAGTTATTGCATTTACAATTTGGTTATAATTGCGCTGAGCCCCGAAGCAGGCCACTGCACAAGAGACCGGGCCTGCGGATCAGCCCATCGAGACCCCGGCGGCGGTGCCCTCGGAGAAGCCCTCGGACCCTCCTCCTTACTGGTCGTCGATTCTCAGGGCTATTACGGGAATTTACAGGGATAGTTATGGGGATCAATGTAGAATTTGTGGAACATCAAATGGACAACCAAATTGTCAACGGGGGCATATGGGGATATATTTAGTGTTCGAGGTCATCTTTTACTGGTCATCAGGAAGGAATGGAGGATTTTTTTTGAATCCCCCATAGCGTGGTAGTTCGCAGTCTCTTTTCCGTTCCTTCATTCCCTACCCCAAACCTTGAACCCTATAAGCGGTGGATTTTCTTGGCCATTTTCTTGTCAAACTTGTGCTATGTCCCCGACAGCAAGCAAGCACCAGGAAGCTCCGGCGGAAGCTCCGGCAGAAGCTCCTTCGGAGGCTCCAGCGGAGGCTCCAGCGGAGGCTCCAGCGGAGGCTCCCGCAGAGGCACCTGCAGAGGCTCCTGCGGAGGCTCCAGCAGAAGCTGCTGCAGAACCTAGCCTGAGCTGTAGCTTTTGGGGCATAATCTTAGGGTGAGGGTCTCCAACCAGGTATCTTTATTGCGTGTTCTCATGAGGGTAGTTGGCCTATGCTTGACTTGCCTTTGATTCCTTTCAACAGTGCAGTAAAGCCAGAAAATACATAGTACACAGTAGATCACATGGACCTCCAAAATTAGCAATCCTTCAGGCTTCTACATTACAGGGCCTTCGGTTGGGGCCTGCAACCACCACATGGTTGGTTTCCCCCCCTTAACAGTCAAACCTGCACATTCCATGCAATAAGATATTCCCACTGTGCTATTGCACTATTTGGGCGGTTTTTCTACATGTTACGGGTGGTTGGGTGGATTTTGACCTTGGGGAGGTGATGAGGTGCCTCTGTGTGAATTATTCCCTGTATTTCCTGTATCTCCCAATCTAAACTGTGAACCCTACGCTCCCGAAGCCGGGATACCAAGTAGTCCATCAGCGTTGCAGAGCTGACGTGGACCTCCAAAGTGGGTTAAGTAGGTGTTGATAATGGACTCAAACCTGCTTTTCCCAAGAACTCGCAAATAGGCCAGGATTCTACATACTGTTTGGAGTTCAGGCAGGGCCAAGGGTTCTCCCTAAACCCTAAACCACCCTACGTAGTTTCACCTGAGGCCACTGCGGCCGAAGCAAATGCGGGCGAAACCGAGGCAGAGCAAGAGCCTCCGCCGCCTGCAGCTACAGCTGCACCGCCTCTAGGGTCGCACCACTGGTTTTTAGTTTGGGATTGGGGGGTGTAGGGCCAGTGTAGGGTTTGGGGTTTAGGGATTGAGGCTAGGTTTTTAGGCTCAGTTTTGGGTTTGAGGTGTAGGGCTCTTCTGGTCCAGAAGAGTTGCTTTGGAGGTTCACAGGAGTTACCTGTCCCCAAAACGTGGAACCCGAAGGCGGGCCCTGTCAAGACTATTATTCCTACATTCAGATGGAATGATGGGTTTACATGTCAGTTTCGTGAGAGAGTAGTACCTAGTAATGACTGGGGCTAGTACTCCACCACTGTGCTTACGACTGGAGCACGATGCTGTCGTTCAGGGCTTCAAAAGCGTTCCTGCGAGAGCTTAGGATTCTGGGGTAGTACCTGAGCCCAAGAGCCTGAAGCAAGGTCGTTGTTGAAAAGCTGTTTGAGGAACAGCACACCCTCTCTTGGAACAGAAGTTCATTGTCATGCTCCGAACATGCCCTTGCCGCCTTGACGCTTCTGATGAACAGAATCTGCGTCACAACCTTGAGCACTGAACTCAAACCCCGCACCTCAAGTCCTGGAGGTGCCTATCTCTGTGAGGCCCCTAGGTTAGGTTCGAGCCCGTGAAGGGCCACCAGCCGGGATGCGTGCAACGATTTTGGGTGGTGCGAGATTTCGTCCACCTACAGACGTTTCTCAAGGTTCCCAAAAACTCTCACTTGTAAACCCTGGTTTGCCCCGTACAGTCAGGACGCCCATAGCGACTCAATGAGAAACCCTAACCCCTCAGACAGAGACTTTAAAAACGTCAAAACCTAGCCGTACACCCATGTGCCCCCACCTTCCCTTCCCTGAACCCTCCAAACCCCAAACCCCCTAATGAAACACAGAGCCCTCAAACCCCAGGCACTACCTGCACGCCAAAAAGCAATTAGGTGAAATAAAATGACCCCAAACCCTTAAACATCGAATCTTCAAAAGTGTCATTGTCTACACTGTGATTAACTATTACTATATTCTAGTATTACTGCAACTCATAGTGTTAGTATTATAATTAGTACTACTATTACTATTCTGTATACCCTGAAATCCTGCGAGGTCACTATTCTCTGCCGAGCCTGGTCAGCTCTACACTTGGGGCAGAGGTACGGATGTGTGAAAGGGTTGTTTGAGGGAGCGGAGTTCAGGTCTTAGAAAGTGGATTTAGGTTTAGGGATCATACAGAGATTATGTGGTCCCTATTGAGAGTTTTAAAGATCATTTGGCATCATGTGAGCCATAATCTAAATTCCTAGTATCCCCCTAGTAAGCCCCATAATAGTCCCCTATAAAATCCCTTATATAACCTCATTTAAGGAGGTTTAGACTATAGCTCATTTGAGATCATTTTGAGACGCTGCGAGGCAGCGATGGCCAGCTTGGACAAGAGTCTCCTTCCGCAAACGGGTCGGTTCGCGGGATTTGGGAATCAGTTTGTCTCGGGCCCCATGAGCTCTATAGTACTCTATAGCCCGAAGCCCTATGCCAGGAACCTTGTGCCTTTGGGGAGTATGTCAGAGGACATTGACTTGAAGAGTGCCTCGTTCTCGAGTTTGTTGGCGGTTTTGGGGGCTTAAAGATACGGATCACACAAGATTCAGATGCATGGCGGCCCCTGCCACGGAAACTATTCAAGTTCACAGTCCACTGTATGGAGCGCTTTTGTGCGTGTACAGGTATCAAGTTCAAAAGTGTCTCAACATCTAGGATTCATATTGCATGACAGACGTTTTGGGATCAACGTGTTGCTCAACAATTTCTGGAAAGCCCAACGCTCTGGGCAAGCACTTCTGCAGTACTGCTCCCGAGCCATAAATCCGCGAAGTTGAGATGACTACTGTCGCTCGGCCCTTATTGATTTTTCAAAGGCCATCCTAGACCTTTAGGGAATCATGTGAATTATAATCTAAACTCCTCGAAGGGGATGATGTAGGGCATTATCTAGAGGACAACTATAGGGGCTATTAAGGGGGATGATAGGAGTTTTGATTATGGCTCATGTTAACTGCCATGGACCCAGGAACCCTTGATGGGGCATGCTCAGCAAGATACTGGTATGGATGCCAAAGTATGTGAGACGGATACCAGAAGCAGTCACTTGCAGCGAAGAAGCGCCATAACCCTCAAAGCGAAACTCTAATGTATTCAGGCCTACAGGCATAGACATCCTAAAGCCCGAGGTCCTAATTCCATGCCCAACTAAAGGACAAGATGCGCTTTCCTTCGGTGAATTGCGCCCTGCCATTTCCGATCCCAAGGCTCACCCAGGCCATCCATCACATGGTTGGGGTTTCGTTTCAGCACCTTACGCTTAGAATTCTTCGAGCATAACAAAGGGGTTGCAATGGTAATAGGAGGGCCGCTGGTGGTTCAGGAGTCGGTGTTTGCAGCTTGCAAAGACCTTGCCCGGTAGATTTGTTGGGGCTCCTCCTGGTAGCCCACCCCCGACAAGATACAAAGCCCCCAAAACCAACAACATTGGAGGGTCCAGGAGGGCTTGCAGGTCTTACATTTGCTGCAGCAAGAAACCCTCCACGCCGCTAAAAACAATTTACCCACCCTTGTGGCATGGCACGCGATAAGCACAACCCCTTAACAGGGGAAACCCGGAAGTTCATTCGGGGAGGTGATGAGCAATTTAAGGGACACCGCAGTTGACTTTAGAGTTACGCAAGGGCTTGGGCATTACGCTGCTACGGCGGTCATAAATATGCGCGAACTCTGGGATCTATGAAAGTAGTATCGAGGTAGCGAGGCAATGCGTCAATTTTGTCCGTGATTGGCCGCGAATGGAAGAATTGACTGCCATTGCAGTCCGTATATACTTGCTTAGGAACAGTCCTCGTTGGCGAGCAGGGAATGAAGCAAGGAGTTGTGGGGACTATGGTAGGGAATTCTTGAAGTTCCTTACAAACAAACAGGAAGCTACTGGTATTTGACGCGGAGTGGGGAGCTGCTATCCTCGTAGAAATACGGCCTATGCTGGAATACCAAAATTCACTCGCCCGGATGCACAAGCATAGAAAAGGCTTCTTCTTCCGGACCCGCTAGGCACACTAATGTTGGGCCCTCTTTAATGA